AGACAGATTGACTCTGTCTTTTTTCAGGACCTGGTCTAGCTACAAGGCTTGGCTAACTGTATGTAGAGAGGCTAATGCTTTATTCTGCTTCCCTGCCTCCTTTTTAGGCAAAGAAGAATGAACAATCTGGGATACCATGGAAAATAATATAATATACTTTTTCTAGGTGTTTGTTAATTTGCGTAGTTATTCTAGATTTTTGCGTTTTTTTTTAAAGACAAAAAAAATACAAAAAATGCACATGCACAACCATGTACCCGCTCCCAAGTGGAATGCCTATTAAACGCATAGGAGATCATGTATGAGCCCATTTCTGTTTAAAAGTTGCTGTTCTCATAGCTAATACAAGCTTACTGTGCCCGAACATCCGCCCTAACCCCTAAATCCTTCCATCACTATGTAGAGCGGGGACTATATAGTGCACTCAGTCAACTTACCATTCAGGCAGATGATCACTTCCCTATTGGTCCACTGCACAGTGCATGTGGCATCATTGCTATTGTCGGGTAGCGACAGCCTATGGCGACAGCGGGCCGCTGTGACAACAAATCCCATAATGCTTTGCAAGCAGAGCTCTCCGCGCAAAGCCTTCCGGGATATATCTGCCTCTTCTGAGGCCTTTCTTTTCTTTTCATACACTTCGTAGACACGTTTTCTCTTATGACCCTCAGCCATTTTCGATGAACTGTGCTGAGAAAGGTGAGCTTCAATGACTGGCTGTAACCAGGGCTTACCACATACATGCGCCTGAAAGTGCACATGCAGAGAAAAAGATAGTAAACTGGGGTAACGTAAACATATCACCAGAATGACTGACAATTAGGAGGAGCACTTATTTAGATGATCCACCAGGAAATAAAAGATAGTCCTCTATACATTTAAATAATACAATTCTAAGAAAATACATAGTTTTTATATATTAGAAAAATATATAGCTGAGTATTAGCTTCTCCATAATTAAACTGGTACATTGTTTTTTTTTTAGGTTTGTGACAATATATTGGAACATGCAAAACAAAGATTTGCCTTTACAAAGCCTGAAAAGGGCAAAATTTATGTTCAAAGAGTAAACCTGTACATGAAATTTTGTTTTGATTATTTTTTGGTATACATCTATTTTGAATTTATAGCCCTCCCTTGAGAAAACTCCACCAGCCACCACTGAGTACGGCTGAACTGCAGCTAAGCCCACAGCCTGTGTAACAGGGAGCTCTGCATTTTTTAACTGTGTGTGGATGATAAAGCCTCCTCTTTCATATCTGTTTTGTTTTATGCATCGGCCTACACGTGTGTGCCTCTGTGTAGGCAGGTATTACTAGGTAGGCTTTGTTATTGTGTTTGTTTGGATGTGGAATGGGAAAAAGAGATTTGTTCACAGCTTCTATCGCCTTCTGCCTTCTCTACTTTTTAAAAGATGAGCAAAGTTTAAAATCAAATCAGTTCAGATTTCTATGCATCCTATTTCTATGCTCCACTGAGAGCAACAGCTGCTTCTATCATTGTGAAGCTGCAGTGCAGGAAAGTTCATGAAACTAGGATCAGACTCCTGCAGTAAACAAACGAGGTTTTCAAACCAGTATCGTCAGTGAAAACATGATTACTCAGCCAACACAGCTCTGAAATGGCATAAAGTTGTTAAAAACACGGTTCTAATCAGATGCAATCAATCTAGCTTATTGTGACTCATCCAAAAAAAAAAGAATATTGACTAAGTATTTCTTGTGGAAACATTAATATTTTTCTAATTCAAAGGTCATTGGAGTAAGGTGTTGTTTTGTCCCGATCACATCGTTTTACTCAACAGCAGAAACTGTCGTGTAAACGGCTAAAAAATAGGATTTTTCTCCAGTTCTACATATTAGTCATCTATTTTGAGTAGCCCTAAAAGTTTTTTCTGTCTAAAAACCTGAAGGAAAAAGGTTTGTTTTAATCTAAAAGCATTTGTTCCCTCACAGATTTATTGTATTTTTCTCACTTTTTTTGTTTGTTTGTTTTAGATCCTGGTTTCTCATATAATAGAAAACTAAAGATAAAACAATAAAAGGGGGGACTAATACATCACTTATTAACTTTGACCATCTTTTTAATTCAGACACACTTTTTTCAATCTATAAGAGCTTGGATAAGGTCAGGTCTAGCCATAACCTTAGGGTGTTTCAGTATTTAGAGGTGGACTTCCTAGTGGCCTTAAGATCAATGCTCCGCTGGCTAGGTGTTATTTGGATTATAGTCACAAACTTATGCCCTGGAAACAACCCTTAATTTTTTTTGGTTGAGAAGATAATTTATGGTTCTATATATAAGAGCTACATGTCCAGGTTCATATTACCAACACCATGTTTAAAACCTTATTGTTGATGTTCTTTTCCTAAGTTACTTTCATACCAAGAAGTTTCACCTCTGTCTTGAAATCCTGAAAGTTGTGGATATCTTTAAGATGTTTTGGTAAGCGCAGGATTCCATCTTCCCGATAATTTCTTACTATTTAGTTTGTGCCGAAGTTTATTATCAAACAACACTCTCGGTGTGAGAATTATTCTATTTTTGTGACAAAGAAATTTCCTATGGATGTTCATTAGAGCAGCTAGGTTTAAAATAAGACAGACATAATTCAACGTGTATGACTTTAAGATGCCTTAAATGACTTAAATGTATATCACCAGGAGTCTTGTTTCAACCCCCTTCCTTAAACATGGAAACATTGAACTCCCCCATATGTTTCTGAATCTCTCCCTGTGATTTGGTGTTTTTTACTTACAGGGTCTTCAACAACAACAAAAAAAAAACAGCATCTTGGGAGGTAGAAATAACAGTGGCTCAAAGCTATGATATGCAATAATTCACCCAGAGTATACACAACCTATCCCAAACATAGACATCAGAAAAAGATGTTTTACTTTTATACCATAAACAAGTGTCCGTTTTGTGTGACAGTGATACACATAGTCAGTATATTGAGCTGGAGAGGCAGCCATTATATCTTTGTTCTTTTTGTATCTTTACTGGAAAGTAGACCCACTTGGGAGGTAGAAATGGCAAGCTGTGATGTGCCACTATTCATAAATTGAGCAACCACAACATATACACTGCATCCCAGGCATGGAGTGGATGAAAGACCTTTTATTTTTATGAAATAAGCCAGGATCCATATGGTTTACTCTGGACACAAAGAGTCAGCAGAAGAACTGTGGGCTGAATATTTTCACCAACTCACAATGACCATATACTTTATATAGACCCAGGGAAAACTGAAAAGACCATCACCCACATGGTGAAGCTGATTTAAAACTAGATCATGAAAGATAAAATATGTTACAAATTGCCCAAAGTGTGTATAAACAAAGCAGCATTTTCTTCCATATACCAAAAGTAAATAAAACTTCTTTTCGTCAGTCATTTCAATGATGGGAGCATTTTGGAGTCCTGACTGTAATTCGGTGGAAGAAGAGGTGGAAATGAAGTCGGAAACAGACCCTGATTTCACCTCTTAGTAGAATTTCGAGCTGAAACTATTAGACTTTGGGCACCAAGGAAAACAGCTTTTCAATTACCACATCAAATGAATGAGAAGCAGAAGCAAAACAGGATCAAGGGACATTGCTTCTTATGCCATTTTCAGTCTACCTTCACACTTTGTACTTTTAGATTAGTCTCACAGCTCTAATCGTAAATTAGAGTATCAAAATAAGGCAGTATATAAGAGTTTTTTTCCATCAGCAATCAGCTCTGCAGGATAATCTTTGCTCTTCCATACAGAACTGCTCAGTTTTATCTGAAGATACTTTGTATTTATTCCCGAACTATACCAGGACCTCTCAGAGGACGTTTGCATAAAAGTTGTTCAATTAGAATACCTGCAACCTTAACTTGCATAATCCTCATCATCCACCACTCAGTTCCCTGATTCCACTCTTTGCTCTCTTACTCCCTCTGTCCCTTTTTCTCTCCTCCCCGTGCTCGCCTTTCTCCCCTCTCCTCTTTCTCTTCGCTCTCCATCTTGACACAGTGCACTGAGCCTAATCGTGGATAATTGGGTGGGAGGGGCAGTGGGCCGGTCTTGCCTTTGTGTGCAAAGGGCAAGTGGTCAAGTTAATGGGGCCCTTGTGTCGAGCTGGGAGCACTCTGTCTCTCTTTTTCTCTGTTCGATCATTCTCTCTGCCAGTCAATTTCTGCCTCTCAGTCAACTATTTTTTTATTCCATGTTTGAAGCTTTTCCCTGCGGTTTCAATCCAGTTTCCCCACGTTTCCAGCTGCCTCGTACGCTTCCCTTCCTCCCAGTCCTTCTCGCCTTCTTCTAGCATCTTTTTTTCCCATCCTCCTCTGCCCTCTCGTCTTTTTCAGTCTTTGTCTTCCTCTCTTTGCCTCCGTCTGTAGCTTTTTCTATCTCTTCTCCTCGCCTCTTCAGGACAATGTTGAGGGAGGAGAGAACAGACCTCTTTAAAATATCAAAAGACAGATCAGGAGGCCCCACTGGTTCCCCCTCCTTCCATGAATTCTCCCTCCCTTCTTCTGACAGATAAACAGAAGAGTGAGCTTGCAGGATTAGCTGCTGTGTGCTGCCGCTCCTCCCTCCTTTCTCCCTCTCTATTTATTCCGAAAGGGGGGGGGGGGGGGGGGGGTCCAATAGGCTTGATATCTGTGTATGCATATAGCTGCATCCGTTTGTCTCACTTTATCTGAAAAAGCTCAGCACACGGGATGCTGTTGTGTTTTAAACACACTGCAGATAGTTTAGGTCTGAAAAAAATATTACTTTCATGGAGTTTTAAGTCTCAAAACTGATGATTTCTGTTTTTCACACAAGTAACTTTAAACATTTATTGAAGGAAAAAAAAGAAAATAAAAAAAAGGAACTCTGCACTAACTTGTTGTGTAAATCACAATAAATTAGTTCCTGGCCTTCTAAAGTGTTGTCTCATTTAAGAATTTACACATCCCAATAAAAAGCTGTAGTAAAGATTTAGTGAAGAAAAAATATTTTATTTATTTGAAAACAGCAAGAACAATATTCAAACAGTACAGCAGAAGCAAAACTTATCATAGACCTCTACCATCACAAAGTCTGGATTAATCAAAGAGTTTGATTCAAATGCCCAAATTTCCATCTTAAATTGCATCTCGGTGAGTCTTAAGATTTCCACAAATTAATGAACAGAACAGCCTTTAGGCTGGTAAAACTGAAATTGTAGATCCATTTTAAAGGTTTTAATAAGCATTTATCAGGTATTGGCTCTTACATTTTTCAATCATTATCTTCAATCTGAACAAGAACCTTACATATTTAACGTATATTACTGCTGCCACTGCAATACATCATTATAACTTTTGCAGTTTTTATTTGAATGCGTATTCATAAACAAACACACGGCTGAGTTTAGTGACAGTAATTCGGCTTTAAAATGTTAAATAATTAACATCTATAGAATTAGGGTTTAAATCTTCACCCTTCGGTTTTAATGGGATATTCAGCTAATTCAGCTGGAGGACACTGAAGCACTGCTAGTAGCATATCTGCTACCACTGCAGACAGGATGTGGTCTACGGCTAAGCCAGGCTGCTTTGGATTTCTCAGGATATGTTGAGAAATTTAGGAGCATGAGGGTGGCAACCCAGAGGCACAATTCAAATCCATGTGTGCTACTGATGCAAAACATGGCAGCAAGCAGCCATTGGGACATGTCATAATGGTTAAGACTGCAAAGCTAACCTGCCTAGAAGGATATGACTGGTTAATTTTCCTCTTCTTCAATGCAGATTTAGCACTGTAGTAATGTACTAATTTAATTAATAATCATTTTACCACTCATGCATTGTGTAACGAACAACACATTTAAATTATGACTTCTTAAAATTGTGCCACTTTAACATTGGATACCTGCACTGACCATTTCTAACAGAAATTGAGGTTTGTTTGTTTTTATGTGGCCACAGAAAGTGATAATCCACATTCTAACAGGAATTACTCTGCTGCCTTTAATATCAAACATTCAATTATTATGTTAACTCAATTAAAAACAGTTGTAAAGTTATGGAAACTATATAATATCAGTCCTCGACTAAAGATTATTTGAGAAGAGGATGCAATTTTACCAATGTTGTTTTTTTATTGACATTTGTGGGCACTTGGAGTGACATGATGCTGGTTGCGGGTTTCTTTTCAGCACTGGATTTGTATCAAAGAGGAATGATGTATTTGTGTACATTCACAGTGGACGAAGGATAAGCATGTTTTACACTCTAAGCAAACAGCGACCAGAAAAACAACAAATCACCCCACAAATACGAAAAAAAAAAAAGTTTGATTAAACACTTTAAACCTATTTGCAAAGAAACATTGTCACAACGGATACAACACTTTCACTCTTTTTTTTTTTACCTTTCTTTCTGAGGCTGATTATCTCATGAGAAATGTAAACAGCAACCACTAAGAGGTACAGCATAGCATTTTGGCTGTTGTGTACACCAGCAGATCACAGTGTAATATGGAAACGCATCAATAGACATCTTCACACCTGCTGTATTAGCGATGTTGCAAGAAACAGGAAACCAGAGGATGTGCTGTATGAGAAACCACCTGAGAACAGTCAGTTGATCAAAACATGGCTGATTTGCTTGAATAAGGTTAAGCAGCAAACATTTGTAAAGTTATGTGTGGATCTCAGGAATAAAAGGTAAAAAATATTTATGTTGGAAATCATGATTGACACCAGTTTCACGCTCCTGATGATTGTTCTCTGCAAACTGAAACTCTGGACATTCAGGCACTCTTTAAATGCAGGATAGACATAGTATAACTATGGTAACAGAGAGATCATGGATTTTTAAAGTGTTATCCATTATGTGTTGATTTTCAAAAAGCCAGCAAAATAAATTCACCTTATACTGTATTTAGATGATCTTACACTGAAAACTTTAAAAAAAAATCCAAACTTTATTGAGTACATTGTTTTAAAGGGTTATAATCCAATGCTAAGGATGACTGATAAATTCATTGGGCAGACAAATCCTAAACTGTTTTTTTAAGTAACATATTCATAAGGATAAATCCTAGCTTATTTTGCTGTGTTCTGCAGAAATTTTGAGTAAATTTCTGTACCTCCCTCCTGTGGAGTTCCTCAAAGTTCAATTCTCAGACCTCTCCTTTTACCACTGCATGTTTTCCCATTAGGCTCCGTTTTATAGGCACCTTCGTTAAGTGTTATGCAGATGACTGTAAGATTTGATTTCCAACAAAGCCAACCTCCCTCCAACCCCGCATAAAATACCTCCACTATACGAGTTTATAAGCTTTAATTGATAAGAAAACAAGTCTTGTTCAGTCAGTAATTCATATACTCTTCAGCTGTTATAGGTATCTCACTACCTCACTGTTGTTCTTTACCTGGTACCACCTTAATATACAATGCCAAATCCATGCGTGTCATTCACCTTAAAGTACATGAGTCACCGTAAATCTCTGCCTTATTTCTTTTTTTCTCTCGATCCAGTGTATATATTTGGACACACCTTCTTTTGACTATTGAGCCACTGTGAAAAATGAATTTCTCCACTGTGAGATCAATAACGTCTATCTTATCTTATCTTCCGAACTGTTCTGGCATCATCAGTTCCTGTGATATTTGTGCATATCTGTGCAAAATGCTCTGTTGGGTTCATCACCCATGTCCCCAGAGCCAGTCTAAGTTCCCATGGATTGGGTTGCCAAGGCCTCTGTCTCTGACAGCCTCCCCATCCTCTTCGCACCTGTCCCTCATGGTTCCCCCTGCAGGGGATGGCCGCAGTGTCCTACCGCGTGTCTTTCGGGCTGGGCCATTGCTGAAACGCCTTCCATGATGGAAGAAGTGACAGGATGCTTGGGGCCTGATTCATTCAGCACTCAGGCTGAAGTCCTTGGGGTGGTCAAAAAAACTCCACTGTGGCGAGGCTTCCGGGGTGCACGAGAAGAGAGCTGAGCAAAAAGGCAAAGCTCTCCATTTACCAGTCAGCTTATGTTCCTACCCTCATCTATGGTCATGAAATCTGGGTCATGACTGAAAGAACAAGTTTGCGGATATAAGCGGCTGAAATGAGCTTTGTCAGCAGGGTGGCTGGGCTCTCCAGTAGAGATAGGGTGAAGAACCTTATTATTCAGGAGGGGCTCAATGTACTACTGTACTTCTGCTCCACATCGAAATAAGTCAAAGAAGGTGGTTTGGATAAATTTTTTGTATGTCCCCTGGATGCCTCCCTCAGGAGGAGGCCCAGGGGATGTGCCAGGAAATCCTGGAGGGACTATGCCTCTCAGCTGGCCTGGGAGCACCTCAGGCTTCCCCCAGCAGAGCTGGAGGAGGTGTCTGCGGAGAGGGAAATTCTGGGAGTCTCTGCTGAGACTGCTGCCCCCACGACCCAATCCTAGATGAAGCAGGAGAAGTACGCGTGTTCATGAACTAGCTCCTACATACCTTTCCAAACTGATTCAGCCTTGTGTTTGAAGAGATGAAGCTTTGTCCTCTTGGCAAAAGCAAGTTTTATTTTCCCCAATGAATATGCGTACACAATTTAAGTACTGGATTATAGTAAAATTTTCAGTGTGAGATTATACTACTGCAATAACACAGTTTTATTTTGAGGTTTGTTCTATTTGTGCCAATAATTGTGAGTCACACCAAAACCAAACTCAAAGATGTTTGTTGTACTTATCTTCATGTAGAAAAGCTCAAAAACAACATTTAGTTGATACACAAAAATACATCATCTTCTATTCCACAGTATTGGGTCAATAAATGCAAGTACAACAGTAATGTAAGAGCATAATGTGTATTTCCTAGGCACGTTCCCCTCCAAAATAATGGTTTTTGACACAATAACTCAGGTGTCAAGATCCTCAAATCAGTTTAGAAGACTTAAATTTATCACCTGAAACTGTAATTAAAGAGGAAATTTACAGATGACAGTTGAACAATTTAAACCAGGCTGTTCTTTCATCATAACACTAGACGAGTTATACTGTATAAAGTTAATTATAATGCAATACCGATGTGGATTTAATGTGTGTATACTGGGGATTAGTTGTGTTAATTGCTGTAAAAAAAAAAAAAATAGAAAGTAATGAAATCTGCATCTCTGCCAGCAACAAATGTTCTTTTCATCCAAGTGTGCCTTAATGTGTTAATGCCCTGCACTGCTGTAAGAAATGCACAAATGAAGTTCTTTGTACTGACCCCTGACTGGGATGAATGAGATGTTTTAAGAGAAATTAAAGGTGGAAATTAAGGAAGCCGTAAATTGTTGCACACTGCGACGGATGGTGAGTCCAGGCAAAGCCCATGAACACAGTGAGCGGCGTAGGTTACAGTGACTGGTTCCACCAGGGGAAAAATATAAAAGAATACTTGACATGTAGAAAACTGTCATTTAATTTAGTAAAAGGGGGAACTGATGAAGAGCCAAACTAACTAAACTGAAAGAATTTAAAATGAATAAATGGAATTTATAGAGCCTTGTAATGTCAATTAATCTTTTTTTTTTTTTTCTAGCAGATTAACTAGTAACTGGTTACCAAGCTGAGCAACTGAGTTACTGCCTTCTGAACTGGAAGGAGCTGTTTTAAATGTTAAATAATACTGGACAATATTAAATAAATGTTAAAAATGGATTATTATGTAGAACAAAAAGCTAATTTTATTTTAGTGAGCTTGATTGACAGGTTGAGGTCCTTTGGTCAGGGTGACGAGGAGAGGATAGTGGATGTTCTCATCGTATGCTTGTTTTCCTTCACTCAGCATCTGGAAAGGATACAAAAGATAAGACACAAAGCAGAAATATTAATAAGACAGTGTACATGTAGGGGATAAGCAAACAACAAAACATTTAATTAAAGCTCCTTTTTTGACAATCGTAAAGGTTGGAGCTAAAAATAAGATTGATTTAGTTTTAATGTTACTTATGCTGGTAGCATTAGTTCATAATTCAGGTTAGGAGGAAATAAAAACTATTTTTACATTTTAAATCTGGGGTTTTATGTCTAAAATTAAAAAGTTGTTAAACTGGGTATTTTTTAGATCAAATCTAAATGGAGACCAGAGTTATCTGTACTTTTTATTTATTAATCTCCTTTACACAAACTTGTTTTATAAAATAAGTATTCTCCTAAAAAAGGCTAAATATGCCCGCCCGAGTTCTATCTTCATTAGATTTATTTAGTACAGGATGGGAGAGATTGAGTTGATAAGCTTTTTTATCGCTTGAAACAGTTTTTATATTATTCTAATCACATTCTTTATCAATGCAAGTCTATTTCACTGATATGTGAACAGAATTTAAATCAATCCAAAATTTTTACTCTTTAGAACCAGCTTAATGTATCTAGTGAAACACCCCAACCAACGTTCCTGGGAGCCACACCAGTTATATTAATTTTATCCTTATCTTGTATTTAATGTAAAGCAAAGGTTCACTTTTATAACAAATTTTGTTTACCGTTAAAAATATTTATAATTGTGTTTCCTAGATTTATTTGTTTAGGCTTCTTTTTTACATGAATGTTTTCATAAGAGTTGTATGAAAATGTATGAAGATTTTTATTTTGTTTTGTTAAATTTTCTTATTAATTGACATTTATTTAATTAATTTCAACTCTGCTTATTTCTTTGTGAATATGCATGAGGAAAATTTTATATCAGACTGTTTTAAAACAGCAGAGCTACATTTTGATTTTGGCACATCTTGCTTTAGCTGGTAGCTTTAGCCTCCAAGCTAATCTACATTCATGCTTATTAATAAGAACATAATATTATCTACTGCAAGTAAGGTAAGGTACTGTATCTACCTCTGAACAGAACTTAACCTCACATATCATGAATTATTCCCTTATTACTCAGTAAAATCAGCCCACAGAAATTATTGTATAGCTTAAAATTAATTCGAATTATGAAAATACTATCACCATAATAGCATTTACTGATGATTTCTTGAGTTGTAAAGAATATTTCTTCAACATTGTAGAGTGAATGCCCCAAGGAAAGGCCTTTAGCTTCCTTTTTATGCTAACTTGACTGCTTTTTTGAAAGCTGCAGTAAACCTATTGTTCAGCAAAATTAAAAATAAAAGAAGCTAAAATATTTAGTTTTAATTCAATTATAATTTCAGGGTGTGTTATTGCCTGAGTGAGAACAACAGAAGCTGAGAAGGAAGCCAGATCCACTAATATCCACCCATGTGAGTGCTACACAAACAAGCTGCCCTGTTTAGAACAAATTGGTCTTTTAAAGAGGTTTAATTAAACCATAGTCTGCAGAGATTATTTTACAGTCAAATAACAAAATATCTGTTATTTGTTTTATGCCTTTCTCTTTAAAACTCCAAAATGCATGGTTCAGTGCATTTTTTTTTTCATTTAAGAAAGAGATGGGTTTTTTTTTTATTTCAGATTAATAGGTGACTGAAACATAACATAGTTCTTACTTCTGATAAATCTATTAAATTCATAATCTCCCATAATTCCTTTTGGATGTTGTAGAAAACACAAAGATAAAAAATGTTTTTTGGCTGTAAACAAGTTATATGTGATGCCGAGAGCAACAACCTCGGGAGCAACCTCTAACCAGAAAGCAGAAGGTGTGGCAAGAAAAAAAAAAAAACATGGACATATAAATGACATAAATGCTGACTTTAAAATGAGGGACTGCTCTGTTTACTGTAGCCTGAGTCTTAGAACAGCTGCTTTTACAGAAGCAATCTCACTCTTCATATTAAAGAGGACCTCTCTTTTCTCAACAAGAGAGAAACTATAGTGTTTTTTTTTTTATGCTGAATTTATAAAAACTCTGTGTTTTCCTAAGTTTAATATAATCTAATTGGTGAAACCTAATGAATTTCCTTCCTGACAAACTTGTAACTGAGCGGTGTCAAATCCCTACAATAACTGCACCTAATAAAGGATAAAATAATAGCTCTACCATTATATAGCTGTTAACAGAATATGGGGTAAACCATTAAAATCAGTTGTAAAACTAAGGCAAATTGTTGTGTGTTGCAGTAGCTTCAAACTGTTAAACATCACAGTTATTGTGAAAGACCATTGATGAAATACACATAACAGATACACACTCCATACTTTGAGACATTAATGCAGTACACGTCTCTTCATCACCTCGACGTTTTCTCATAAATATATTTTTTGTTGTCAACCAAATCAATATTTTATTTATTTGCAACAACAGCCTGTCCAGTGTTACGGTTCAATATGACACATCATCACCTTATATAATAACGCAGTCTCTTTTATAAATGCCTGCCACCACAGCTATACCATAAAGTAGCATCTACTATGACATGTGCTCGTAGAAAACAACAGTGGAAAGGTTAGGGACAATATCTTTAAAAACGTCCTTTAAATAAAATTACAGTTACATAAAATAATGCAAAGAGAACCTGAGTTTAAACCATCTCCAAAACTTGCATCTACCCAATGTAGGTTTTCCGATTTTAATTTAAATAACTTAACATAAACAAGTCACTAAGGTAATTAATTAAAAGCTTTAAATAAAGACAAATTGTTAATTTCCCAATTTATATTTATACTTTTTTAAGAAAAGCCAGACTTAGTTGAATAAAATTTCTTAAACTGAGCATTTTTCTTTAACCTTTTTATTGTGAACATTTTGCAAAAGCACATTTTGATCATCAAAAAGATGTCCAACGCCTCAACTTGGACTCTTATTCATTTTGAAGTCAGGCGCTTTGGAAGCTAGATGCTAAATGCTCCAGGCGTTGACCTGATCTGTTCTTTTTCTTGAAATCTAGAGTGGGTTGGATTCATCTACTTTGATGAGTACAAACATTACAAAATTACAAACATCAAACATCACTGTTTGTGATTTGTCTATTTGTTTAAAAAATTTGTGTTTCCTACAATCAGCTATATGTTTCAGTTTGAATATCTTACCTGGTTCAACACAAACTTTTTTAATTATTTTTTTTAGGCCTGTCTGAATATTAATGTCAAAACAGATGAGAAAATTGTAATTTTACACAAACCAAACAAAGATAATTTAAACTTTTTTTGGGTTTTTTTTTTCTCTTCAATAAAGAATATTTGGGTAAAAAGTCCATCAGTTCAAGTTTCAAGATTTTTAAGGCAGAAGAATAATATAGTCTGCATTTCTTAACATCTTCATCGTCAGTGGCTAACAGTTAACCACTCCTGTAAAAACTGACTGCATTATACTAAAAATGGAAGAAAAAGAAGAAGCGTTTTTTTTTTTTGTACTTGTGTGAATTCCAATAGTAGGTCAAAAATTAAAAATACTTGAACACAATAGGAAAATGCAAACAAGGTGTACTTTAACCCTCTAATTGCCTACTGTAGGTCTTTTGATCGTGTTCCCAGATCCAAACTACAACGTGGAGGTGATCGACCTTTTTTTGATGCAGCCCAAAAATGTTTAGCACTATAGTTCTTTACAATATGTACTTTATCACTCAATATTAGCACCTCAGTATTGGAATTCTGTCTTATATGAAATCCTAGATTACAGTTCTTATGCACGTTAGTTTGCACTATGATTCTTTTAGACAAGTTTATTTTTCAGATTTTACAATAATGAAATCATATTTTTCTTTATCTAAATACAAAAGGCTTCAGTAAATGTTTGTTTGCTTTAAATGTCGATCAAACAGCTTGGACATTGACATTTCTTTTTGCAAACAGCAAAAAATATTTGGGATTAAAATGAAAAGCTGAGGTTTTACTTCAGGTTCTCCCTTAGCACTCCTCTCTCAGTACCCATCACACATCAAACAACACCAGCGACTTGTGAAAGTGTGAAGTCCTCACTCCACACCCCCTCACCCCACTCTCCTTTTCGCTAACTTCTCTTTCTTTATATAAATCTGAACCTACAGCTCAGGTGTTCCTCTTCTTCGTTCTATTCATCCCTCCTTCTCTTAACATCCACCCTGTATGAATTTTATCTTCATGATACCTTCGCTTCAGGCAACGGCCGGAGGTTCAACCTCTGACCTCCCGATGGAGAGGGAAAAAAGAGAGGAGGGTAAAATCAGCTGTGGGGGGTATCTGGGTGTAGCAGGGCAGCTGCCGGCCCCCTTTATTGGGTCAGCTATGGGGACTGAAGCCAGCATTCACATTTAAAGCCTGCTAAAGCAGACGCACTGAGGAAGGAAGTAGTAGAAGGAGGAATGGAGGGATAAAGAAGAAAGAGGGAGGGGGTGCTTACACCGAGAGGGCTGAGAGCTCGCAGAGGTGAAAAGTTTAACAAGCAAAGCTGTTCCTCCTGATCGCGGGCTACCTAATCAGCTTCATGGGTGGCTGGCTAAATCGGCTCTCTTCCCGACCTGCCACCTCATCACTCCCCTCCTCCCTCCCCACGAGGTGCAAGCCATTTATTTTATTGCCACTTTCACCTAGGCCTCCTCTCATTCTGCCTCTCCATTTCCCTGCTTCTTCTTTTTTTTCTTCTTTGTACTGGTTGTGTGGACTAAGAGAAAAAAGCGAACAAGGTGGAAAAAGATGAAGGAGGAGGAGGGTAGAGACAAGGGAGGGATGGATAAACTGGGTGTCTGGGGTCTCTCTCAGCAGGATTAGGAAACGGAGAATAAGGGATTGGGTGGATGGAGCGATGGGTAGAGGAAGGGATAGAAGGACAGGCTTGAATAAACCGAGAAGTGGGTTGTGATGTAGGAAATGGGAAGATAGAGGGGAGCTGAGGGAGGGAGGTGAAGGAAGAGGGTGAGGGACGACATGTTTGGGAAATGGGGGATGAGG